AGGAGGAGGAGGAGGAGGAGGAGGAGGAGGAGGAGGAGGAGGAGAAGGAGGAGCCTTTTGGGCGGCTGCTCGGGTCTCTGCCGGCCGTGCCGGGACGACTCCGCGGGGGCACTCCGCCGGGAGCGCGCCAAACCTCGGCGGGGCCGCGGCGGCTTCGGGGGGGCCCTCCGCGGCCGGAGGGCCCCTGGGGCGGAGTCTGCAAGAGCGTGCGGAAGCCTCGAGCCTCGAAAGTCTCGAACCTCTAACGAGACGTCTCCTCGTCGTCGTCGTCGTCGTCGTCGTCGTCGTCGTCGTCGTCGTCGTCGTCGTCGTCGTCGTCGTCGGCATCGCCCAGATTGCTCCTACTGCTCGGGAGTCGATGTACGGGAAGATGTTGTGCAGAGTCTGCCAGGGCCGGGCGTGCGTCTCTCGTGGGGGCCCGTGCCAAGAATCCCCCCCCCCCGCTCGTCCTGCCAGGGTGCCCTGGCTTTCCTTTGGCTCGTGCTCGCACGGAAGGCTTGCAGCGGTCGCGGAGAGACTCAGAGGAGGGACAGGTACCCATACCTCTACCCTCCGCCCGTTGTTCCCTTTCTGGGCCTCCTCGGAGGCCCTCGTCGCCACCGCCGGATTCGCCTCGAAATCTTGGTCAGAACGCACCCCAGGAGAGGTCTGGGGAGTATCGGTATCGGTACCTTTTGGTCTTCCCAGAGAAACCGCAGATGGCAGCGTGCCCTGAGTGTCTCGACGCTGCGAGTCATTGCGCGAGCCATCAGCAGCCTCCCTCGCCCAGGGTAACTACTCTGAGTTTCTTGTCTGGCAGCCGCTGAGCAAGAAGCCCAACCCTGGCCCCAGAAACGCCGGCGTTTTTCAGGGTCGGGCTTCTTGCGATGGGCTTCTTGTGCAATTGACTTGTATGTCATTGCAGTCAACCCGCACAGTAAGGATGAGGAACTTTCCAGGGCTAACCTTGCATCCTTGCCCCTTCGGCCCCTTCTTGGCCGCTTTCGCGGGCCGCGCCCCGCTCGCAAAGAGCCGACGTGGCCTTCCAAGGCCCTTGCATCCACGCCGTGCGTCTTCCTCCTACGGATTGGCCGTACAGTCGGGGCCCTGAAGAAGGAACCTTTTTCGTTGGGGAGGGGCTCGGTGTTCCTTGTTTGTTTTACAGTCTGCCTTGGGTTGTCCTCAGGTTTTCGATCTGAAATCGAAGTTTAACTTATGGAAAAGAGGGGCCTCGTTCCTCATTTATCGCTCCTTAGGTCAACTCCCCGACTGCATGCCCGCATGCGCCCCAACGACGACCCTTGCCCCGAGGAGCAGGCCAGCGCTGCTGCGACGGAGCAGGCCGGCGCCCAGCCCGAGGACGCGCGCGGCCGCCGTGGGGGCGGCCGCGGCCGCTCCTCGAGCTCCGGGGGGGGGAGTCTTGGAGGGGAGGGAGGAGGAGCGAGGAGGAGGGAGGAGGGGGGAGGGGACGATCGAGGAGGAGGGGGGGAGCAGGAGGAGCGAGGAGGAGGACGGGGAGCGAGGGGAGAAGCGAGTCAGAGAAGAGCAACGGTTTTTACAGAAGCGCTCGGAGCTCCGCGCGGATTGCGTGGGTCGGCGCTGGCCCCTACTTCTGGCGGCGCCTCCGGCGCCGCCCCCCGGCGCGCCTCGCGCGTCAGGGAGGGGTCCAGTGCAGATCCCAGAAATCGAGGCAGAGCCTCAACAGCTTATGCTTAGGCAGTTCTTCCTCCTCCTAGAGGAGGGAGCGATGAGCGAGGAGCGAGAAGGAGCGAGGAGCGAGGAGGAGCGAGGAGCGAGGAGAACCGAGGAGGAGCCAGGGGCGAGGATGAGGGAGGAGGAGCGAGGAGGAGCGGGGAACGAGGAGCGAGGGAGAGGTTGTGGGGGGAGTGGCCCTCGCCCTCCTCATCCTCATCCCCCTCTCCCCGTCGTCACCCTCGTCGCCCTCTTCGCCCTCGCCGCCCCCTCGCCGCCGCCCTCGGTGCCCTCGCCGTCGCCCTCGCCGCCCCCCCTCGCTGTCCCTCGCGGCGGCCGACGCCGAGCGCCCGAGGAACGCCCGAGCGCCGACGCCGCGCCCAAGGACGGCGCCGCGCCCCTGGACGGCGCGGCGGCGGCGGCGGCGGCGGCGGCGGCGGAGGAGGAGGAGGAGGACCAGTGTATCCAAGCTCCCTCTTCAGAGGCCCTCAGAACGGTTCATTTCCATGGGGAAAACTGCCTCGTTGGAAGACAACCGTTTGAAGACCCTGAAGCATGCCAAAACATTGTTCTCGGGATTCCAACGCCACTGATCAACCTGATTATTGCGTGTCGACGATCCTGAATCGTGCATGGGAATCCATGAAACCCTTGCACATGTTTGTGAACGGATGTGCGTGGCGCTAATGCGAAGGCCACATTTTGAAAAGGAACCGCCCTCGATCCGTGAAACTCTTGCAACTTGTCAGAACGAATGTGCGCCGCGCTAAGGCGAGAGCAACAATCTGAAAACGACCCGCCCTCAATCCGTGAAACCCTTGCAATTTTTAGAACGAATGTGAGCCGCGCAAAGGTGAATGTGGACGAGGAGGGGGGGGGGAAGGGGAGGAGGATAATGATAGGGGAGAGGGAGCAGGAGGAGGACCAGTATAAATCCAAGCCAAGAGTCATCAACGGTGTTGGAGTAAACCCTCCCTCCAAACTCCCTCTTCATAGGCCCCATACAGCGGTTCATTTCCATTGATGGAACTGCCTCGTTGGAAGACGCCCGTTTGAAGACCCTGAAGCATGCCAAAACATTGTTCTCGGGATGCCAACTCCACGGATCAACGTGACTGTTGCTCCCTGGCGATCCAGAATCGTGCCAGAGCGCAATGTTTGGCATTTCAACACGCGAACCAACGTGTTGTTGCACCCGCACAATCCTGAATCCTTCCAAAACGCCATTTCTGGTACGTTGATGACGGGAACCAGTGACACGCTTGCAAATGTTCGGGACGAATGTGCGCGACGCTAGGGCGAGAGCCACATTTTGGAAAGGAGCGTCCTCAATCCGTGAAACGTTTCTGCAATTTTAAGAAGCGTATGTGCGCGGCGCTGAGGCGAGAGCCACGGTTTGAAACCGACTCGCCCTCACTTCGTGAAAGTAATGATTCAAACAAATGTGTGAGGCGTTAAGGCGAGCGCCACATGTTGAACACGACTCGCCCTCAATCCGTCGAACTCTTGATTTGTTAAGACGAATGTTTGCGGCGCCAGGGCGAGAGCCACATTTTGAAAACCACCCGCTCTCAATCAGGGCAACTCTTTGTAATTTGTTAAAACGAATGTGCGCGCCGTTGGGGCGAGAGCCACATTGTGAAAGCCACCCGCCCGCAATCCGTGAAACTGATGCTGATTCTTAAGCTTCATGTTCGTACAGGGTGAGGAAGCCTCAGGCGAAACGCCTGGCCCGCCTTGACCACTGGCCCCAGGATGCGACAGGGACAGGTTATTTATAAGGAAAAGGAATGATGGAGGAGGAGGATAATGATGCTGATGAGGATGAGGAGGAATCTGAGGAGGAAGAGCAGGAGGATAAGCAGGAGGAGGAGGAGCAGGAGGAGGAGGAGGATGAGGAGGAGGAGGTGGAGGTTGAGGTTGAGGTGGAGGAGTGGGAGGAGGAGGGGAGGAGGAGGAGGAGGAAAGGAGGAGGAGGAAGGAGGAGGAGAAGAGGAAGAGGAGGAGGAACAGCATGAGGAGGAGCAGGAGGATGAGGATGAGGGATGAGGATGAGGATGAGGGGAGGAGGAATGAGGAGGGACAGGAGGAAGAGGATGAGAGGACGAGGAGGCGGAGGAGGAAGAGCAGGAGGGGGAGCAGGAGGAGAGCAGGAATGCGGGCGGAGGAGAAGGAGGAAGGAGAAGAGGAGGAGGAGGAGGGAGGAGAGGAGGAGGAGAGAGAGGGAGGAGGAGGACGAGGAGGAGGAGGCGGAGGAGGAGGAGGAAGGAGAGGGAGGAGAGAGGATGAGGAGAGACGGAGCAGAGGGAGGAGGGCAGGAGGAGGCGGGGCGGAGGAGAGGAGGTGGAAGGAGGGGAGGAGGGGAGGAGGAGGAGGAGGAGGAGGAGGAGAGAGGGAGGAGGAGGCGGAGGCGGAGGCAGAGGAGGCGGAGGCGGGTGGAGGAGATGAGGAGGAGGAGGAGGTGGGGGAGTGGGAGGGGTTGAGGGGAGAGGGAGGAAGGGGAGGTGGGGCGGGAGGAGGGAGGAGGAGAGGCGGGATGATGAGGTAGGAGGAGGAGGAGGAGGAGGAGGAGTGTGAGGAGGAGGAGGAGGTGGGAGAAGAGAGGATGATAGGAAGAGGAGGAGGAGGAGGAGGAGGAAGAGGAGGAGGAGGAGAGGAGGGGGAGGATGAAGCAGATGATGAGGAGGAGGGAGGAGGAGGAGGAGGAGGAGGAGGAGGAGGAGGAGGAGGAGGAGGAGGAGAAGGAGGATGAGAGACAGGAGGAGGAGAGAAAGGAGGAGGAGGAGGCGGAGGAGGAGGAAGAGGAGGAGGAGGAGCAGGAGGAGGAGGAGGAGGAGGAGGATACGATACGATACGATACGATACGATACGAACGCAATTGGGGTCGATGACGCCGTCTTCGCAGTTTCGCTGCACAGTAGTCTCGACGCTCAACGCCAGGGCTGACGACACAACAGGATATGAAGGGGACGTAGCGTCCGTATATAATCTCTGACCCTATGCGGCTTACAGCCAACCTCTCAAATCCTTTGAATCGTGGCCCTGCGGCGGCCACATAACCGCTAGGCCGCGAGGAACGCTGCGACCCCGCTGGCACTAGCAGCACTCTCAGACATACTTGCCCTTCCTCCGACCCCGCCCCCCCGCTCTCACGACGACGCCCCCCCCCTTCCCTTTCCCTGATGACAGTGGCACTAACGCATGCCCAGCAGGAGAACTCTGACTGATGGCCCCGCGTGCGGCCAGCTCTCGAGCGCGAGCGCTCGTGGCGACGGCAGGAGGCGGCACGATCCTCACGTCTGGCCTTTCCCCTCGAGCAAGCTGCGGACCTGGCGCTCGAGCGGGCCCTTCGGCGCCGAGCCACTCCGCTGGATGGCCTGCAGGTCCAGTAGAATGAGCTCGAGCAGCTCCCCGCCGCCGAACTCGGATTCGGGCCTATCGAGAACTGCAGCCGAGCTTTGCCCTCCATTCTCGTCGAGCCTGGCCCTCGTGGCGCTCGGGTAGAGAAGTGCCTGATGAGCGAGGCAATCTACTGCGAGTTCCTCTCCTTGACATGTGTGTCGTGAACCTCCTTGGCTCTGGTGCGCATTGGCTCGGGCGCCGACTTCATCACCGCACGGTTCGTGAGGAAAAACACTGTGATGAACGGCGGCCCTGGCGCGCTCAGATCCACGTCCCCCCCCGCCTTCTTCTTCTCGTGGAGCTGCTGTACTCCGTCGGGGTAGACTTTGTTGGCCGCGAGACCGCCCACAGCGAGGTAGTTCTCCTTCGAGACCAGGAACCGCACGGTTCGTGAGGAAAAACACTGTGATGAACGGCGGCCCTGGCGCGCTCAGATCCACGTCCCCCCCCGCCTTCTTCTTCTCGTGGAGCTGCTGTACTCCGTCGGGGTAGACTTTGTTGGCCGCGAGACCGCCCACAGCGAGGTAGTTCTCCTTCGAGACCAGGAAGTTCGACGGCACGACGGCGGAGAGCAAGGCCTGCTCGCGAGCCGTAGCCAGGGACAGGAGGGCGATCTTCGTCACGAGGTTGTCGCCGCCTTTTCCTCGGCCCTTGTTGGCGGACTTCGCGTCGGGCCGTGAACCTGAACTCTCTTCTGCCTCTCGTTTGACTCCTGGTGTCACGGGCGCGATCTGGATCCCAACCCATGGCGGCATCTCCTCGTCGCCGAAGAGCTCGCCCACGGTGTATGACAGGAGCGTGAGTGAGGTGCGTCCGAGCGTGAAGATGGTATTCGTGAGTACTCGGAGATGTGGAGCCACAAACTCTACAGGCCAAGACATCAGGCATCACGATCTCGGTACGCGTCGTCGCTTTCTGTTTCCGACACCGCCCATGCTGAAGAGCACCAGCACGATGTCTGCATGCTGTCAGCCGTTCTCCGAACACTTCTTCGCATACTATACACTGATTCGTGAGCGCGATCGCATGGGAGCGTGTGACACTATCACGTATAATCCCACTGTGGTTGGATAGTCCAGCTTTGCAACTAAAGGTGCCCCCGCATGGGCCCGTTTCATCAGACCAGGGGCATGCGTGCATTCGATCGGTTAAAAAGGGCCTCGGCCTCCCGGGCACCAGGACTTGATCCCGCAGGGGGCTCGTAAGAGTCGGGGCCAATGTTTACACCGAGGGAGGCACTACGCAGGACCGTGACCTCTATTCGTGTAAATCGAGCGGCGAACACGGGCTCGAACAGTTTTTGAAAGTCCTTCGACTTTCAGTCCACAAGTCCCGAGCTTCCTCGGGCACAGGCAGAAGCTGTTCAATGTCCGCTAAAACTCGCAGAGCCCACGGATTCGCGCCTGGCATCACCGAGATCGAATCCCCAAACACCTTAGCTCCTAGAAACGTGCCAAACCAAGCAGCAATCACTTGTCTATGATATTCGGGGTGGGCACACATACCTTGAAACCACTTCAGCCGTCTAACAGAAACTCTACGCAGAACGGGGTGATCTTCCAATGCTGCAGCACCTGCTGGGAAGACGAAGAACGGACATGGTGCGCATCTTCCCAGCTGGCTTCACCCCGCATCGCTCTACGACAGAGACCAGCAACCGCGAGCTCAAACTTGCGTAGCTGACCAGTACTAGGAAGAAACCATTCAACTGCCGAAAGGGCCGAATTCACAACCTTACAGCGCAATGTACATCTTTTCCAGCGGTGCGGTACGTTGGGTTGCTGCCAGAAACGCCCTGTACGGAAATCGGCTGTCTTGGCGGCAAGAATTCGTTTACCCAGTTCAACCTGAAACGATTGAGTCGGAGTGAGGCGAGGTCCTAGATATCGCGCCGACTCTTCACATCCACACTGCTGGCTGCGAAGCATGTGTACCACTCGGCGTTTCGCCGATGGCGGAACCGAGACGATGGCTTCTTGTTTTTTTTGGTTACGCTTGAGGCCAATCTTTGCTAATTCAGCATCTAGAAATTCGTCATTCTTGATCGCGATTCGTTTAGCCAGGTCCAGGGGAAAGACAGGACCCAGGACCAGCTTGTTTAACAACTCATCGACGAATTTAGTCACACCTAAATGCACTTTCAGCGGGTTTAAACGCTCACTGCTGGCTTCAAGATACTGTTCCAGGGGATCCAGTGGCTGGCATTTCGCAATCCAACGGTCCAAAGCCGGACGAAACACATGAACAAACGACGCGACGGCGAAAGGGTCCCCTTGGAGCATGCCGCATCCCGTGCGCAGGTGTGTGTCGCCTCTGTCTGCTGGGATGGCCATGCAAGCGAGCTTATAACGTTGATGACAGAAGCGACGCTCGTTTTCTCTAGCCATTCCTTCGACAGCATTGTCAACAGCAGGCCAGGAGGGTGAAGCAAACGCGTTGCTTAAATCTTTAGCGAATCTATCCAACGCAGTCCAGCTTTGTTCAGACGCCAGGATGTGCAGAGGTTGGCAGCACTAGCATCTCCCCGACGCCTTCGCCGCAGGAAACCGTGGTCCATCTCGGAGTGGATGTATGGCGGTCCCTTTCTCACCACTCTCTTCAAAAAGGCTCTGCCGAGAGGGTCCAGGCCGTGCGCGACACGCCGACCAGGAGGGCCAGGGAGGGCGCATTGCTGCAACGCAAATCCCTGGCTACAGGACCACAGACTCTGCAAGAGACCCGTTTGGCGAAGGAGGAAACATACGCACCAGCCAGCTTCTTTGTTCTCAATGGATCGACGGCAGCCTCGAGCCGAGTCCAGCATGGCTACGAGGATCCTCCTTAGGAGGCTCACCAGCGCACAAACCCCAGAGCTCGACAGGCAAGGACCACCTCGGGACCCCCTTACGTTTAGAAGCTGACTTCAGGTACTCTTGAAGGTACGCTAGATCCCCTATAGCATCTTTACGACATTGTTCAACTCTCTCGTGCCTATACATTGGCGGAGGAGGGGGTCTTCTAAATTGCGCCCGATCCCGCTCCAAGTCCTCCCGAACCATCCTCGAAGCCTCCATCCCTCCTTCCCCGCCTGGCTTGGACCACGTCTCAAGCTATTCCTCTGCCGTGGGCAGAGCTCCTTGCAGGCGAGAAACATCTCGCTTGCCACTGCCAAAGCGGCCTCCTGCGAGGCGAAGACTCAGTCGATGTACTTCCGCCATTGGTCTATGTCGCCACGCTTTGTATATCTCCTCGACCAGTGCTGCATTTGTTTTGTTTTTTAATGCTTCCTTGCGCTGCGCCGCACACTTCTTGGTGAGATACTTGAGCTGTGTGCAGCATGCATCGAGATCCGCGGCAGAGGAGTTGTGTAGTTGTGCCCAAAGCTCACGACGTTGTGCAAGTAACCGTAGACGTTCTTTTTTATCAGGGTCATGTTGGTTGGGCACATTTCTTTCGACCAACGTCTTTCTTTCATCTCGTAGCACATCATCCAGTTGCTTCATCAGCGATAGAGGATCCTCGGCAAGACATATTCCAAATCAAGTTGTCGCAATCGTTGTTCCACTGCATCAAGAAATTTATGTCGATCATGTGATCCTCGGAGCGCCTGCATTACTTTATCTTTGTCCCATTTGACCTCGACATGTGCATCGCCGTTAGGAGCCTTCCATTCACCGCCTGTGTGTTTCATATCAATCCAATCCAATTCAACACGAGCATGTACAGGTAGGTGGTCGCGACTGACAGGCGCAGGAACAAATTGCAGCCTAGTGCCCATCCGTCGAAGAGGTCCGTGTGAGCGTAGGCGTTAATATGATCTATCATGCTGGAGTTGCCGTGAGCGTCAAAGAACGCATGCGCAACTCGGTCCCTGGCTGTACTGGAGAGAAGACCATGTTCTTCCATGAGTTCACCTAGTCTGTCTCCAGCTCCCCAGAGGTGTTATTCTTGTGTAACTCCTATCTCGATCGCAAGCTTCCCGGCGTCCTTCCACTGTCCTTCTTGCTTAGATAATCCCATTTCATCATTCCCATCAGTCATGATGAAGACCAGCGCAGAGTGCGGAGCCTTGCTGATCACCTGTGGTGCCCATCGAGCCATTTTTCACAGCACGAGAGGTAATTCGGAAATAATCTTCTATCTGACGGCTTCGGTGGATAGTAAAGTGTCATCGCGTAGAACGAGTTCCCATGGAATCTGAAATCAATTCACAGGCCGCGCCCTTGAAGATGAGCTGGTGGTGTGTCTATCCTTATACTACATTTTTGCGGCCATCTCGGTGGAAGCAGAAAAAGCGCACCCAGCACTCTTGTTCGAGAGCTTTTGTGTGTTTCCAGCCAGCATTGATAACACCTCGGTCCAAAACCTTGGCCATGCTGTAGTTCTCGTTCAGGAATGCTTTTGTGCCTGTGCCCTGGAGTCCGATCATGCCGAAGTTGGGCGCTTCGGCTGCGACATCTTCCATTCGAGACCGTGATTCATGGAGACAATAAGAAGAGATAATAGCAAGCGTGTAGGTCATCATGCCACTAGCCAGCGGCCACATGACATTGAGAGTGAAGTGCCGAACATGTGAGTGTGTGACCTTTGAGGAGGAGCGGGAGGAGGAGGAGCATGAGGACGAGAACGAGGAGGAGGATGAGGAGGAGGAGGAAGAGGAGGAGGAGGAGGAGGAGGAGGAAGAACAGATTTTTTTTTTTTTTTTTTACTGTCGAACACGTTGGCCTCCCCAGTGTGTTGCAAGCTCTGGCTCCTGCTCCTCCCCTTCCTCCCCCTCCTCTGGCTCCTCCTGCTCCTTCTCCTCCTCCTCCTCCTCCCGCTCCTACCCTCCGTAGTTATTTTGGCGTGAGCTGTGCTGTTCCTCAGAGGAGCGCGTGGATACCGCTAGTCCGCGGTAGGCAGAGCTGTTCAGCCTGGCAAGTTTCTCAAACACATTTCCTCTCCTTGGCAGATGGTCAAGGATAAGGATGTGAAGACGCGCGAGGAGAGGTTGAGGCGCGGCCGCGATGACGATTATGAGGAGCGTCGTTCTCGTTCTGCTGGCTCTGGCGCCAGCTCCCCGCAGTCTGGGGGAGGTAACTCAGCTTCTGATGGCGAGCGCAGCCGCGGCTCTGGAGGCGGGAGGGTTCCCGCGGGCGGCGCAGGCGGCGGGCATCGTGGACCAGGAGCGGCGCCGTGCGACCCATGGGCCAACGCCGCGGCCGCCAACATGCTGCAGGCTGAAGTCGGGAATATGCCCAAGGAGTGGATGGCGGAGATTGGGAATGCTTCGCAGGAGGCGGTTTGAGCAGCCTTGCAGGCCGCGTTGACGAAGGCTTTCCCCGAAGCAATCGCGGCAGCTGTACCGGAAGCAGTGCAGACCGCGACAGGCCCAGTGCTCTCGCGCATGGAGGCCACTTAATCGTTTCGAGGCGATCGAGTGGAGGCTTGGGTAGATGGACGCTTTCCTCGAGGTGCATGGCAAGGACGTCGAGGCTGGCAAGGAACTCGTTGATGCCCTCCTGAAGCGGCTATCTCCCCTCGAGCGCGAGTTGGACCTCACCCGGGCCAGCCCGAAGCCTCCCATCGCCATTTCGACGGCACGGGCGCCGAAAGCGGACGACCGCATCCTCGTTGCGAACGCGACGGAGGACGTGCCGAAGGCTAGGGTCCAGAAGGGGCTCGAGCAGTGGATCCGCGACGTGGGGTGCGCTTTCGACTCCCAGGTCGGGCTCGAAGGGGGAAGAGGAGGAGGAGGAGGAGGAGGAGGAGGAGGAGGAGGAGGAGGAGGAGGAGGCGGAGGAGGCGGAGGAGGAGGAGGCGAAGGAGGCGGAGGAGGCGTGGACGAGACTGCGTCGTCGCGGGATCGGCGGGCATTCAGCGGGCTCCGGAATGAACCTGGAACGCGGAGGAGTTTCTCTGTCCCCCTGCCGATGGGCAAAGAGATCCGAGTGCTCGTTCGTGGCGACAGGAACCGAGAGATGCAGGCCCGGGAGATGGCCGGTAAGAGTCTCGCGAAGGCGCTCCGGCTGTTGGCCCTTGCCGCCGACGTGTATCTTGGAGTCGGTCGCTCGTCGCTCGATGGGGGCTGTTCGCCCGGGGACTCTGGCGCGCGGGCGTTCGCTGGCTGGGCGCGGCCAGGCTGCCTCGCTCGCGCGAGCCCACCTCCGCCGGCCTCTCGGGGGGGCCCACTGCTCGGTGGGTGGCCTCCGGCTCCGAGAGTGGGTCGAGGGTGCCTCGGCGCGTGTGCTCGACGCGCGCATCTCTGCTGTTGCCGCCTCTCCGACCCGGCTGAGGGCCCTGCTCGCTGGCCTCGGGGGCGTTGGCGCCCGTGGTGTCTCGAGAGGCCCCACTCGCTCGCCTCCCCGCCTGGCTTGGGGGCTGGGCTTTCCGGGGTCGCCTCCCAGGAGGGCAGCGGCTTCTCGGCGGCCCCAGCTGCTCGCGATCGGGGGCGCGGCGCCGCCCTGGATGCCCGGGCGGCGGCGGCCGTCGAGCAGGCCCGTTGTGCCAAGGGGCGCGGCGCCGCTGGCGCGATTTTCAGATTTGGTCGTGCCTGCAGGCAGGGTCGCAATCTGTTCTGCCCGAGTGCGCGTGCCAAGGCTGCGCGGGCCCTTGAATTCCATGGAGTTGCCCCTTCTACGCTCGAGGATTGCGCGGCATGGTGAGAGCTGCGATTATGGCCCCGCAGAAAGGAGTGCGCGCCCCGACGGCCATCCGCCTGCCCTGTGGTCTCGGCCAGGGCCCTCTCCAGGTGCATTTCTGCCGCGTGGTCACGTCGTGGTTCGTTCGCTTGGCTGGCCGCCCGGGGCCTTGGAGTCGTTTGGGCTGGCGCTGGGCGGCCTCCTTCGCCGCCGCCCGACGGGGGCGGGCCTGGATCCGAGGTCCGATGGCTGCTTTCCAGGCCCCTTGCATGGCGGATGGCTGGTGGCGCCCCTCCCCCCCCCCTTTTGTCCTGATCTCCCCGTGGACAGACGACTGGCAGATGATGACGGACGGGCGTGGCCCGCCCGGTCCGTTGCTCGAGGCTTTCGATGAGTTCATTGGCGCGCTCCAGCGGCGACAGGTTGCTGAGCGCGTCGTTGGTGGCGGGGCCCTGGGGGCTGTTTCGTTGCGCCGTGTCCAGGATTTGGTGGGTTCCCTCGAGAAGGAACGGCGCCGGGATCTCGCGGTTATTATTTGGCCCTTCGTTTCTGGCGGCTCTGGCCGAGGGGCGCGGGCACCTTGCCCCGATGGCCCCTGGCCCGCTGCATCGCCGCTGTCGGCGAGATCCGCTGTGCCGTTTTTGGGGCTGCATATGTAATGCCACTGCTCACGCCCCGGAGATAGTTGAAACCCAGCACTTCAGGCATGGTGCCCTGCAGGAAGGCGCTCAGCACCCAGCCGTGTTTCTGGATGCGAGGCTTGATCCCTATCGGCTGGTCCAATCTCCGTCTTGTTCCGAGCTCAAGGGGCTTCCAGGGGCGTCGGTGCCCTGACTGTCTCCCGGCAGCTTGCCAGGGGGCCGTGCGCCGCCGACGGCGCGGGTGGCCAGTTTGCCAAGTTTCCTGCCCTCCCCATCTGCACGTGGTCGCCGACCGCGCTAGCACTGTTGAAGCTTCCCTGGCCGGCCGTGCGGCCTCTGCGAGGCTGGCCAACTTCGACCTTTGGTGAGGATTTTCGGGACTCCTGACGGAGCGCCCTGGACCTTTTCGGCTCTTTTCAGATTCCCAGTCGCCTGCTTGAGGACGCGCAAGAGCTCGCCCGTTTTTTGGGGGCTCAGTTGGCTGGAGCCATGTTGTGTTTCACTCTGCGGCCAACGAGTTAGCCGACTCGCGAGTGGAATTGTGCCGAGTTCCGCCCGATGTGTTCAAGGATTGCAATGAGCTCGTTGTTTATGCCTGTCTTGTCCTGCAGCGGAGTGCCTCGGTGATGCTTTCCTGTGCTGCTTTGCGTGCCGATCCCCGCCGCCGCTGGAATAAACCGCCCATCGGCTTGTTGCTTCGCGGGCGCAGGTGGATCGAAGCCGATGCTCGTGGCTCGTCGCACGTTTGGGAGTTCGGCTGTGGGGTTCGAACCTGTGGGATGTGCAAGGCTTCGACCTCCGATGTCGCCCCCTCGATCCGTGCTGGGCTCTCCTGTGTCGGTCGGCCCTGCGTCTGGAGGAGTTTGAGTTGGGATCTCGGCGGAGGTGGAGGAGGTTATCGTCAAGAAGTGAGCCACACCCAAACACATTCTGCCGCCTACAGAGGGGACCAATGCCAAGAAACACCCTGTTTGCCTCCAGGGTGCCTTTGGTTTCTTGGGTTTCGATGGTTTTGCCAGGGAGATCGTGACGTTCCCACACCAAATGTCGATGGACGTCCAATGGTTTCTTGTGGAAGGTTTCTTGTGGTCGGGCCCGTAGTGTAGCTCGCCGGGATCGCCTGTGGAAGCCCTGCTCTGTCGCTTCCCCGGGGCCGCATGCCACCACGAAACACCAGCTTGAGAGTTTGCAGCGTGCTTGCAAAGGCTTACCGCCTTCCAAGACCGCCAAGCGCTGGGTCCCTTATTATACCCCGCCTGCCAACCCTTGCATCCACTGCATTCTGGACTTTGGCTGGCAGCGGCGCGCTGTGAAACCACTTTCCTCCTCCCCCCGTCCTCCCCGTCTTCCTCCTCCCCGTCTTCCTCCTCCTCGTCCTCCTCGCCCTCCTCGTCATCCTCCTCCTCCTCCTCCTTCTCCTCCTCCTCCTCCTCCTCCTTTTGCTCCTCCTCGGGCAACTCCTTCGCTTCCTCCTCTTCCTCCTTCTCCTCCTTCTCCCCTTCCCTCTTCTCCGCCAGCTCCTTATCCTCCTCCCCCTCCTCCTCCTCCTCCTCCTCCGAGCTTGTTGAACTTGGGCGAGACGACTTGGCCGAGGTTACTGCGTTGGCAGAGCGAGCGGCTCGGCGCAAGGCGGCCCCCTTGCATTCGGTGCCGTCGGAGCTACTGATGATTGTGCTCGACCCCACTCGGAGGTTCGACGGCTCACATCGCAAGCGACGCCGACGTGAGAACGGTGACGGTGTCGAAGACGAGGATGAAGATAGGCCTCTCCCTCGTCCTCAGTTCGTCCCTCGGCATCGACTGGCGGGTGATCGTCGTGGCCTTGGCATCGAGGCTGAGGGGGCGGTCTCGAACGAGCGGAGCTTGAAGGCGTTGCAGAAGATCTTTCATCACATACGGCGAGTGCGACGGACGCCTATCGTATGGCATCATTCACGGGCCACTGGACTGGACAAGCACAACAGTCAGGAAGGGTTCGCAGCGAGGCGGTACATTCACGGTCTGTGTCGTATGGGAGTGCTGTGGTACAAAGCTCAGCTGGGCCGTGGAGTTCCCGACGCTGTGCCTGATCGTGAGCACGGCTATCACCTCGGCCGCAGTCGTGAGGGAGCGCTTCTTTGTCAGGAGGCCTTGCTGTGGCGACTACGAGGATTGGGAGTCTCGACGGTCACAGCAAAGGAAGATATGGCGAATGCTTTCGGCTGTTCTACTTCTCGGCGTTGAGGCGGACGGTGGAGGCCTCGATTCAGCCTGAGACACAGTGCTACTTCCATCAGCGCCACGAGACGAGTACGTTCACGATACGCGGAGCCGACGGCGAGCAGACGATGCACAACCTGTGTGGAGCTTTCATGGGCGATAGCCCCGCGGCGGTGTTCTTCCCTCGCACGTTCCGATCTCCCATACAGGAGTGGACGGACCGTCTGCGTGAGCAGACGTGGCGTGGTGCTCCCCCTCCTCGGCCAGGGACGCATGCAGAGTGGGCTTCTCAGGCTCTGGTGCCGCCGTCGCCTCCAGCGGATCCCGATCAGATCCTGTGGCCGAGTGAGGCCATATGTACGGCATGGGTGCCCATCTTGCAGCGGCCCGTGGACGTATCGTGCAGGATATATGCGGACGACACTAACAAGACCCACATTGTGACGACGGCCAGGAACGCCAAGTACACGCTCGAGCAGGCACACGTCCATCTTCGAGACTCGTTGGCCAAAGACGGCTACTCTCACACTGCGGGGAAAAGTTGCATATCACCATCCTTCGTCGGTCCAGGGTCGAAAGACAACAACGCTGCTGTGTTTGGGGGATATATTCGGCTTCCTAGACAGGTGCAGTTTGACAATATTGCGTTGGGTATTCAGACGGCGGTGAACGGAGGGGTCCAGGGAGAACTGCAGAGAAGGATTCAGGCGTGTCAGAGGGGGTACTACTCCATGGGACGCTTCTGGACCAGAAATCGGGTGTGGCGCTTTACGAGGATCGTGTTCGGGGCCGTTGTGCAGGGTGCTCTGCTTTCAGGACTTACTACGCTGGTGCTTTCGGAGGCTCAGGAGCTTCGTCTGGACAAGGTGCTCGTCGGTTTTGTTCGGAAGTTGCTCGGAGGAGATGCGTGTCAGAAGGTGGAGGAGAAGGATGAGGAGGGCAACGTGGTTTTGGACTCGCAGGGGAACCCCGTCGTTCGCTACAGGGCCCTCACCGATGTCGTTGTCTTTCGTCGAGTGGGGGTGGCCCCGTCGGGTGTCGAGCTCAGGGTGCGCAGGCTGAGGCAGTGCCAGAGATGGGTGAGACATCCCGAGCGGCACCCACAGGAGTTGGGTGCGATCTTCAGGCAGCTGCCGATCGAGTCTCATCCGACTTTGTGCGAGCAGGGATGGTTGCAGCATCAGTCGAACCCATATGCCAAGCGCTTCGCGTCCGACGTCCTGGCCCTGGTTCAGAAGTCTGAGG